ATAGGAGAGAAAACTTAACTCACTCTATGTCCATATAAAAGGCTTTAGGTATTAAGCCTTAGGACTTCAGAAAATTTGAAGTAGGTTTGCTAGGCTTTTTTCACTTTGTCTTACTGATCACTTAGTGCATATTCATGGAAYATTTTTAAGATCACATTGACAAAGAGAGAATTTTATCAAGACTTTCAAATTGAGAAGTGAAATAGGCAGTTGTTACATTTGTGAGTAATAACTGAGTTATACCTTGCTTCTCTGACCTGACTTTGGAAGTTACCCGCAAATTTTCTGGGACAGGAAGTATCCAATTCACCACTTCAGCAAAGAGAGTCATTCCTGGGCCATACAAAGTGCACACATTTCCAGCATGATACACATGGACTCCTTCACAGGACTACAGGAGCTTCTTTTGGAACACAGTTACTTTTCTTCTACAATACTAGATAATTTCCTTTGTTCAGACTATCATGGTCTTTTGTGTGGATTTACTAGAAATTAATATTCTGAGATTCTCCAATCCCTTCCCTTTCAGTTCCTTTGTTGTCAGCTCATGAGAAACGTGAACCAACTTCTGGGTAACTAAAGTAACTCATTTTGGGCTAGTCTGGAAGTCTTTTACTATTTTGAGTCCTACAAAKTGACTCAAAGTGACACAGTTCAACAAGGGGCAGATTTTCCTAAATATAAAAGTGCAGTTACGTATCATGCAACAAAAAAGAATTGAAACCACGTCTGAACATCTTCTGTACACTAGCAGGCTCAAGTTTATCTAGAGCACTTTTTGCACTTAAAATCTTCAGACAGCATTTCCACAAAGACGTTTTTGAGTGTGCAATCCAGTCCCCTCTATTATATTTCAGACACCCTACTGCCAGTCTGCCAATAACAGTGCTGATCCATATTGGGYTCAGGACTCATTTTTGCGGACCCAGCAGTGAAACTATGCACAGCTTGTCTTTTGCTATGCCTTTTAGACAAGTTATCCAGATCACTGTAGAGTACTCTCAAATAAAACAGATTTTCCCACTTTGCATAGGAATGCCATGGAGGACGATGTTCAGCACTCATCAAGGCTTCTGCATGCAAAGCTCTAAAGAGCATGTRAGCACCTGCTCCACCAGCTTTTGCACAAACACAGAGATGTGGGATACAACAAAGACCATACAGACTTTGAAGAAACTGGTCTCAAGTAGGGATGACTGCAGGGAACGTAAAAATAACTTCTGATTCTCATAGGAACAGATATTTCATGAATGAATGTTTTGGAAGCCTAAAGATAGTACCAATGCACACTAAAAGACATGTTTTATGAGACTCAAATTTCAGCTGGCAACATCTTGCAAATATTTACTGGCCTACCAAGTAGCTGAGATGTTCCAGAAAGGCAACACAAGCCTCTAGAGTACAAAATTAGCATTCAGAAAAAGGGATTTCTTTGTACACACTCTTCCACTGGCTCTACAGATGTACATACTTTTCACACTAGACAGCTGCTGGCTGCCACACCTCATTTTCTGAATTATGAATTTTATGGAATCTTTCTGCTTTCTCCACAAAAAAAATGCAAAGACAAGTAGGTGATTTTCACCCTTTGTCAGGCCAAAAGTATGGTGTCATCTTTCTTTCTCCAGGCATGTCCTCAGCTTTCAGAGCACAAGCAGAGACTATCTTAGGATGAGGATAAAAAAGGTCCAAATTAAAATAAGGAATCTTAATTCTGCATTATAGGCCTGGGAAGTTCTTGCTTTCTTTCTTTTTCACTTTCCTTCACATATATACTGACTAGATTTGTACCTGTAGAGAAAATTCCAGTTGGAGGCATCAGCAACTCCAGAACCAGAACCAAAAGCAGGACTGTTTTTAAAGTCTAACACACTGGGTGCCAATGTCCCAACAGAGATTTASCAAAGTGGAACTGGCATAAGACACACCAGTTTCTTTCTCTGGGGACTGATACAATGCCTCCCACCATGTCTGACTCCCCAGATGTTCACTTTCATGGGGACCACATACATCAACAGGCCAGAGYAGCACTCAGACCCACCTCTCCCAAAGAGAATTTAAGCTCCACCCAGTTCTGTTTATCTGAACTTCCCCTGCCTAACCCAAGTACATTCAAAGCTGTTCTTCAAGACCTCTCATCCAAAGTCCTACAGCACACAAACTTTCTAGACAGCCAGGGCAGAGAGAATAACATCCAAGGAGTGTGAAGTATCTATAACTGCACTGAATATGTGATAAGCAGACTGTATCGGGGAGAGGAACAGAATGTGTCAGGTAGAAAAGCCCCAGAAAAGGTTGGGTGTGGAGAACTGGAATCACAAGAACCAAACCATGCCGCCAAACCCTAAGTTCTTACCAGGGAAGTGGAAATAAAAGCAAATGGTACTGTAAAGAAGTGAGAATGTGATACAGAAATTAATGAGAAGAACAGCTCCTAACAGAATTAGGACAAAAACAACAAAACACAATTTAATATGATCATGAACAGAGAAAAGATGATAAAATATCTTTTTCTTGTTCTTCAGAACCAGTTAGTTTTTCCCTACTTCAACACACTTACAAAAGATTTCCACAATCTACTGCATCTGTAAGCAATTCCAGCTCTCTAACATGTGACATCCGTTTTAGTCATTGTTAGGGAAAATGGGATAGGCCATTTTATTCACTACTCCAGCACTTTTCCATAGTATTCAGGACAGGAACACACACTCTGGAAGGTTCTTTCAAGTACAATGGATGTTGTCTGCTGCTAATGACAATGTGTTCATTGTCTTATTAATGAAAATGAGTATTGAGAAACATAACATCTTTTTATATAGCAGCAGCAACCTCATGTCCCTGTAAGATACAACAGATGCTACGCCACACATTGAAACTATTCAGAGGCCAAAGAATGGACAAAGCAAACCCAGTTACTGATAATGGTGTGTCCAGTCTTGGTGTGGCTTACAGAACCGTGTCATCTTCAAGGACTCCCTACCAAAACMCTTCTGCAGTCACAGAGGTAAAAACTCAACAGATGGTGCCATGACCACAACGCAGGTGGCAGTGCACACTATGTGTGATGTTCCCACTGGGCATTTTTTGCTCTTTAGTTACATGAGAMACACAGAGACTTACTAAATTTTGCAAAAGAATTGGTGAAAAAGAGGTGGCAATGGCGGCCACTTTGGGATTCAAGCTCGAGTTGCACTCTGRATCATTACCTACACAGCTTGAGGTGCTGATCTAAATTCTGCAGCATGAAGTCACAAGGTACTTTCAGACTGGAAAACCAAATGTAAAAGAAAGCTTTCATCCTTGCACTTGAGACTAYTGATGGGGCTGATGCTGTCAGGARCACAGGTACATCCCATGGCTGGCTGTTACTGGCAAAAGCAAGAAGTAAGAAAGGAAGGAAAAGAACAACATGCCAGCTGTAAAGAGCATGACTTCAATCATTTTGCATCTGTGTTGCAGCAAAGCTGCAGCAGAATACCCACCAATATAGATAAAATCTTGGCAGTTCATGTTTATGAGTTCATTAAAATAGATTTAATCCAGGAAGCTTGCTTTCTATTTTAAAGGGTTTTTTACTGAACAGGCTAAGAACACTGCCCTTACAAACCCCTTGGGAATATGACAGGGTGCTGGCTTCACTTAAGCAAACTGCAGGAGCACATTTCTAAAACACACAAGCCAAGGAAGGGCATGGTAGGCTGCCATTCCCTCAGACATTACAACAAAGTTTATTTATGCAGAATCAAAGGAAACACCACTGGAGAGCACAGCGATGAAAATGATGACTGAGCTTGACTTCTGACCTCTCCAGTTTTTCTGTCTCTGACCTTTCCACTTAACCAGACTTCAAACTCAGCCTATGGTCTTCACCCTGCAATATTTTGAGTGCACTCAGCATTCTGAGGTGCTGCTGGGATGTGTTTAACAGATTATATGATCAAATCCAGATTTAGGTAACATCTGCGATAGAAACATGTCCAGATTGTTGGTCATTAGCTGCCACAAAGGAGGAGCTGTTATTACTGTTATCCCCTTTTTATGTCAAGCTGATGGTGTCCTCTTTCTCAAACCTATTAACCTATTAACTCTGTCATATGAGAAACTCTGCGACTTTAAGCATTTATTACAGTGGGACATAACTTGTCTGTACTTTTAAAACAGTGAATACCTCATAGTAAAAAAAAAATCCCAACTGGTTGGACAACCCATGTTTAACATTAGAGGCYCACATTATGCATGCAAAGTTAGAACACAAAGTAGCAAACATTGCTTTAGCCAGTAATGCTGAGTATGAGATCACAAAGTGTAACTTCCATCACACCTGCAGGAACAGGTAATTCCTGTAAAAAGTATTTTCCAATACAAGGAAAATGTGCCTGCCACATACCTTTTTTGAGCACCCTGAAATCCTACATATTAAGGAAACAGTTAAAAGGAGCATTGTATTTGATGGAAAGATAAAGGTATTTGGTGTACATGAACAAGACACAGTAAGTGAAACACATTAACAGGAGACAAACAGTGCATCAGATAATTCACTGTGCAAACACAGTCTTACCATGTTGCTTCCAATATATTGTGTGTGAAAGAAATGAAAAATGGTCATTGGCYACCTTTTTGCCCACATCATGACAATGACTTTCAATGTACTCCACAAAAATAATGGGGTTAATGATTAGCACTTGAAACACTTTGTTTCACATGTGACCACATACTATTCCTTAGGCCAACAAGCAGTTAACTCACCACTTCATTTACTTCATTGGGACTACACAAAAAAATGAAAATTGAACAGGGAAAGTAGGAGGTTCAGGGTTCAGTATTTAGCTTTTGCTTGCTGAAGTTAGTGCAGCTTGAAAAACATAAGGACAGAACATTTTAGTAAGCAATAATAGACAAAATACATTTATTTAGTTAACTAAACCATCACAATTTGTTTAAGAAAATCAGATTACTGATTTACAGTTTGTTTTACTCTGAAATAAACATAGTTCACTTACCATATATTCCATGTTAGAAGCAGGTGGGAAAACTTTGCCTCTGACTTGATTATGATAATCAAGAATGGCAATCATGTCATTCTGCGAAATGTAGCGCTTCCGCCTGGCTTTGGGAATTTTTGCAGAGTCCAGATGAGCTGCCAAAGCTGTCTCAATGTCAGTGAAATTATTGTCTGACAGGAATAGGTCAGTGGAGTTGGGTAACACTAATGCACTTGTTTCACAGAGAATGGAAAATARGAGAGTACAACTGATTGCAGCAATTAYTGTCATTTTGGGGCCAAAGGAGACTGAYAGGTCACAGAGGTACTCTGCTGTAAGTCAGGGCAGCAGAAAGCAAATCTGTAGAAAAGAAGATATCAAGATGTGATTCTGTACATCTGGGTAGCAAGACAAAGTGAACTGGCAGGCTATGACCAGAAAAATCATTCTGTCAGCTCAATCATAAAAACAATCCAGACGGAACACGTGTTGCTGAGCAATTTTCAATTACTGTATTAAGCGATGATGCTCTTACTACAACACAACAAATGAAGTATCATTGCACCATTAATTACATGGTCAGAGCTGGTAGTACTCCTGAAACAGTGACAGTGCCATCACACTATAAATCTTAAATGGGGAGACTGCAAGAAACCTCACATCAATTTTCCACTAAAAATTAGAAATACATCCCAGGCTATGCCTATCCCATAGGCATGGACTGTTTTGACACAATGTGGCAGAGATAAACTAGTAGGCAAGAGAAAACATATAAAGCATGAAAGCAGGACATCTTAGAAACAGCATTCAAATCTTAAGTTCAGCACAATGTGATGAGCACTGATAAAAACTGCATGCAAAGCAAACTTATGGAGCTGAACGGCTTACCTCTGGATAATACCAAGAAAAAAAGAACACAGTCTATTGTTCTCCCAGTATATATAGCACTCTCCTATATGATGATATGAACCTTTGTGAAGAAGTGTCTCTTATTACAACCTCCCAAAGAACAAAACTCTGCTGGTTGTGAAGCTTGTGGCCAGAGGAGCTGCTGACAGCCTTTATATGTTAGAGGCAGAGGAGCCAGCGCGGGCAGTGTCGCGGCGGGTCCCGCTCAGCCCAGGCGGGCAGGAGGGGCTGTGCCGAGCTCACGGCAGCCATTGGGTGCCACCCCGGAGGGTGGGTGCTTTGGGGACTCGGTCACACCCCCGCCTGCCGCAGCACAAAGAGGCGGCGTGCGAGGCTCTCTTTTYGGCACTTCCTACCTTTTTTTAATCGCTCCGTGGTTGGTTTTTTTCCTCATTTCCCGAGCATCATGCTGGCTCGGGAAGCGCTGTTTCACGAGCCCCCAGGGCGCAGCGTGTAGCGCAGAGTTTGCAAAGCTGAGTTTGTTGTCCTGTCACAGGAAACGGGACCCGTGCAGCGCCGTGCCCCGGCCCGAGCGTGTCCCCAGCGCGGTGTCCCCAGCGCGGTGTCCCCGGCGCGGTGTCCCCGGCGCGGTGTCCCCGGCGCGGTGTCCCCGGCGCGGTGTCCCCAGGGCGGTGTCCCCGGCGGGCGGGCGGGCGAGCGAGCGATCCCGCTCCATCCATCGCCGAGCACCCGCGGGCTGCTCCGGTATCCGCTCGCCCCTTTCTCCTCGTCCCTCGCCCTCTCCCCTGCAGGCACAGGCAGAGCTCCGGGCGGTCGTGGCTGTCCCAAGCAGTCACCTGAACGTCTGCCAGTGAGAAGCTACGGGAGCGGCAGCACCGAAAGCTCCCGCTAGTGCCAGGGAGRCATCTGTTTCCCATTAGCTAGCCTATAGCTGGAATTGTTTAAGCACAGAATGGTCCAGCCACTCACAACAGCAGAGCTAAGGGCACAACACTGAGGCCATGACGAAAGCGAGCAGAGAAGCAGCGGCAGCCAGCAATTGTGTGCTGGGGACAGCGTATGGGAGCGACACAATGTCAGGCTGACCCCCCCACCAGGGCTGGGCGACCACGAGCAGCCTGTAAAATGAGACCCTTAAAAGGGTAATTGCAGTATTTTGTGACATCATAAAGGAGCCAGGAGAGAGAAACACAACAGGTTTGRTATTACACCAGAACTTAGAGAGTGCTCAAAAGTTTCAGTAGCTCTATTAGAGAAGCAATATGGGATTTAAGTATTAAGGAAGTGCAGTCCAGTAGTTGGAGCACAGGGCTGGAAGCCAACACTCACGCTCTCCTTTTGGCTCTGCTTCTCACTTGCTGTGTGGCCTAACCCAAACCATTTAATCTCTGTGTGCAATCTCTACAACAGTATAATACTCTTCTGCAGACATGTCGTAAGGATCAAATGACTAGTGTTTGATAGTGTACTTTGTGATGAAAGGTGTTAAGTAAGTTTAAATTATCATAATTAGTTACATTATTATATGTATACCCAGCCTGTCCAAAACTGCTGCTTAAGCTGCAGGTATTCCTTTGCATGATTATACAAGAAACTTGAACTCATAATTTGTCCCTGCCAGACTAGATGTTGGATGATTCGTTTAATTCCGTTTTCTTTCTTCCGAAATGAAGTGCATATTTGTTTGTGTTAATGTCAAGAATTGTCTTCCCATTGTTTGAATACAATAAGAATTTTCTGCTCCTTTGAATTGYCGCAGGTCCTTTGATTTCATCTGAGCTGCAATAAGTTATCAAAGGGAAGACACCAGCTTAACATGTCAGGAAGTTCAGAGGGTAGATTTAACTAATCACATTTTAGATTGCTACAATTATTTCCTCATACTCATCTCACAACAGTATTTGGAGACTGTTATGGTACAGGGCACTATACAGAACAGCTAGGATATAGAAGCAAATGTGAAATAGCTGTAACTTTCACATCTATAAAATTGAGCTGTAATTCCCTACAAATAGACCAGTTTATGAGAAAGTTCTTTTATTTCCCTTACTGTTTAATTGTTTGTTTTCGTCTCAACGGGCAGTCAGTGCAGCTGCTAACCTAAATGTAAGAAAGAGGCTTATGAGCAATACTAACAAGCATTATTTCTAAAAGTTTACTGTGAGTGTGAAAGGCCTCAGAACATGAGTGTCTCAACCCAAGTGTGTTGTACTGGTAAGTTGTAGAGAAGGAGTTGCAAATAGCGAAAGAGTGGCAGTAACTCCCAGGCTTGACAAGTAAGATAGCAAAGACAATCAGAGGGGCATGTGCACTCAGTTTTCTTCTCAAGAGTCAGTCACCAGATATGCAGTGAAATTTAGCAAGCAAGACCAGCRAAGCCACACTAAAGTCCTCATGAAGGTCCCTGCCAGGGAGAGGAATGTCTAAAATGAAGAGGAATGAAGAAAAAACACATCAAAGACGTCTGCAAGGAGAAAAATGAGAAGTGGATGGAACCGTCTGCAACATACACAAAAAGAGCTATTTCCCGACWCTTCAGCCATCTCCAAAAAGACAAAAGAGAACAATCAGACCTGTGATAAAAGACCATTACAGGCTACAGATGGAGCATTAGTGAGACCTTTGAACGAGTCAAAATATCTGTAAACCTAATAAAGAACAGAATATGCCAGCTGAGACAGCCACAACATGGTTACTGAGCAGCCTGGAAAAAAATAAAGGGCAATAATTCTTGTGCTTAATGTCGGCAAATATTACCAGTGAGAAAAATTATATCATCAAGAACAAGAAAGAATGTAGAAGAAACTAAGAAAGAAAAATAACTCAGTTTATCTTCTGAAAGATTGAGTTCTAGGAAATGGACAAGATTTCAAAGTTTCACTAGAAAATATCTACATTTTCAAAGTACCAGTATTCATGCATAGGAAAATAATGCAGAAATGGCAATACAACACAGCATAAGATCTAGATTTTGTCTGGAGGATAGGCTGTGTGAAGGTGTGGCTTGAAGAGAACAGGATATAAAATGAAATTATGAAATGCAGCATCTTCACCTTCACTGCACAATAAAAGCAATGACTCAGAAATGTCCTGGTTCTTCTGCAGTGTATTCCTTTCACCGAGGCTATAAATTCTGAACTTCTGAGTAATGGGTGATTACCCATTGCTCAACAAGGTARGATGAACTTCATCATGTTGAGTGACRTTTATTTTAGTAAATGARTTATGAATGTATAAAAGCTGAATTRTTATAATTTAAGAATAATGTATTTACAGCAAAATAAGTTTATGCTGATTGCTGATATTAGGCAGTTAAGCTTGAAATATTTATTATAGTATATTTATTTATATATTTATATAATTAGTCTGACTAACTTGAAAATACCTGCCTGGGATTKGAGATAATTTTGATGTTATATCAGTAGTGGCAGACAATTCGTACAGTTGAAGTCTCCAATGGATATTCTCTTCCTGTTCTGTATCTCCAAGCACACTAAAGTTCAAAGCATTTCACACATTTGTATTTCTCCTTTGTTTTTTTGATACTTCATCATACTGATAACCATCACACAGAGACAATAATAATGTGGAGAGCTCTGCCAGGTCCCAGACTGCAGATCTACCTCTGGATCATCCTGGGAAAGAAGACAACTTTTCTGCTGTATTTTGTATTTCAAGAGTCAAAAAAAGGCCTTTTTAGCACAGAATGAAGTGAGAATAGGAATCAGATTATTGATTCAAGAATGTGTTGGGATTATCTACATCCTTCTGTCAGTATGGTGACAGCAATGTCATCAAATGCAGAAGTGTCATCAATGAAGTTTGAAATTACAAATCAGCTGGGCCTATAGTGATAATTGTAAGTTTAATATAAAAACTAACTATAATTACCAAGCAGCTGTCTAAGCTCCTRAAAAAATAATGGCAGATGAGGAGCAGTGGAGCGTAGAAACAATTCCAGCTTACTGAGGTAGATTTTCCAAGATTGCCTAGGCATCAGCTTCTAGTTTCATTTAAGATGCCCAGACGCTTGAGATGTCTGCTTCACAGATATGAAGGGCTTAAGAAGCCATGAAACTTGAGAATATTTGTGCCTTTTTGAAGTACAGCAGGTGATAAGATGATGAAATATCAAATCACATCAGGCACACACTCTGGAAGGTTGCTTGAATAACTCTCAACATCWTTGACTATATTGACTATATATTTGTTGGTTACACCAGAGGTTTAAGCACTCAGCTTGTACATAGACACTACTTTTGGTATCTTTATCTTGTTCTGAATCCTACCCAATATATCAAATTGTACCAAGGATAAAAGTTTCAAACAAAGCAGATAGAACAAGTATGATATGGACAATCATATTCCCAGCATTACACATTTTTTCCAAACAAGTTTAAAATATAGCTTTCATCAAACACAAACATTAACATCCTTAATATACTGTGTAGCCAATGGCACAGAATTGGGTGGCAACAGGAATGAAATTGGCATATGGAAGCCTCATGAAAAAATTAGAAATGTTAAGTTTGCAAGGTACCTCTGAAGATCTTCTAGTCCAACCCCCGGCCACCCAGAGCAAATGACACAGGAACTCATCCAGGTGGGTTTTGAATGTYTCCAGGGAGGGAGACTCCACAGTCTCCCTGGGCAGCCTGTTCCAGTGCTCTGCCACCCTCAATACAAAGTTCTTCCTCATGTGGAGGTGGAACTTCTTGTGTTTTATTTTATGGCCATTACTGCTTGTCCTGTTACTGGGCACCACTGAAAGCACTCTGGCACCATCCTCTTGGCACCCACCTTTGAGGTGTTTGTATGTATTGATGAGACCCCCTCTCAGTCTTTTTTCTGGACTAAACTGGCCCTTCTCCCCCAGTCTCTCCTCTTAAGAAAGATGCTCCAGATCCCAGTTTGCTCAGGTTTGTCTATTGTTACTGGAAATATATCAACAGCCTGGAAAAGAATTAGTAGAAAATGAGGAACAATTATTTATAATGAGAGGAAATTCTAATTACATGGATCAAGAACTCTGTCCTGCCAAGAAATTGCTACTGAGTAGAGTGGATGCTAAAGAGCTGTTGCCAGTCATAATATAACATTTCTGAGAAATGAGGTAATTAGCACACTTTGAGGCACTGRTAAAATCAGTATTCTCACTGATACATCAGCAGAAACCACTGGTCACAGAGCAGGGAAGCAGAAGGGTTAAGAATTTACTAGGCTAAGTGTACT